GCTGCCCTGCCTGTGTGAGGGCTCAGCCTCGGTGGGGGCACATACCCCCTGCCCAGCCAGAGGGACCCTGGTGTCTGGGCACCGTGAACATCACCACCTCCACCCCTTGGCTGTACCAGGACTGACTTTCAAAAGAAAAGATGGTAACCTCGACTTTTCCTTGGGGGCTAAAAGCCATGTCACTTCGGAGCCCCCCATTAGCATCTTCCTATTCTCCAGCCCTGACAGGGGTGGGCTGGGGTCCCCTCCTGCCCCTGGCAATCTCACACCCCTGGGCTCCTCTCCTCCAGTGCGTGGAGCAGATGGGACAGGTTCACACTGCAAAGCGGGTCCTGGGATGTGAAAAAAATTGGTGCTCAGGGGCGTGGGTTAAGGTTAAAGATGAGTGTTGGCATTGGCATCCTTGGTGCATGAGCTGGTGACCTTCATGGGGGGCCGGCCCCCTCCAAGCTTGCTGGCCCATGCCCCTGCCATGCTGTGGGCTGTCCCCATGCCATGGGTTGTCCCCATTAATGCACTGGCAGTGATGGTGCCCCCCTAGCTTCCCCCTCCCTCCGCTCTCCTCCTGAGCAGCATGTGGGCTCCTGGGCCTGGCCCATGAGGTTGCTTTTCCCCAGGGGATGAAGCAGGGTGGCAGGGATGGGCAAGGGACCTGTTACCACCCCCAGCCCCCTCACCAGCCCTTGGGGCATTGCTAATTTACCCTCACTGTCTTCCGCCCTGCTGTGAGCTCAGGGCTTGGGGCTGCGCCCTCTCTCTGGAACAAGTGCCAAAAGTGTCACCCCCATCCCACCTGTCCTGCCCTTCCCATCGCACTTTGTAGCAGGGGCTGGATGAGGGGGCGGGAGCTGCCCCCCATCCCTCCATCCCCATCCCTCCGGCCAGCACTGGGCTGACAGCGTAAGCAGGTTTTTCTCCAGGGGATAGACACACAGGGACAGCAAAGGGTTGGAGCCAGAGACCTTGGGGACCTGATGGGGCCATTGGCAGAGGCCAGGCTCAACTTCAGGGACAGTCAGAAGCCATTTTGAGGAGCCTCAGACCCAGCACCCCAGTCTACCGAGCTCTGGAGCTGCTTGGGGCAGCCCAAGGCAGGAGGCTGAGCCTCTCTTTTCCCCACCTGGTTCTGTCACACTGGTGTGATAGCAAAGGCCACCTCCTCTTTGCAGTAGGAAACTGTGTTTCAGAGCCACCTTAGGACAGAGATGTTCATCCAGTGAAAGAAACATCCCTCAGTGGCTGTGGTGGGGGTCTGGGAGCAGGTCCCCATGGCAGAACATGGGCTATGCTGATGGCTGTGGCTCCTAAAGGGGGGTACGAAGGCCTTTTGGTGGCCGGGGGTTGTTTTCTCTACCTGACTCACAGCCAGGGCCATCCTGCTGCTCCCTCCTCTGGACTGGCACCCCAACATGTCTCCTGGAAGCTCAACAGATCCCAAATTCCTCCCTGGGAACCCAGGGCGGGGTGCTTGATGGGGGGGACACACATCTCCAGAACACCATTCCAGGGGATGTGGGATGGAAGCTGCTAACAGCAGGCAGGGTTGGAGCAGTGGGAAGAGCCTTGTGCCCCATTTGGGGGCATGTTCAGTCCCCCCTGTGGGGACACAGGTTTGGGTGTCCCAGCCCTGAGGAGTCAACAGCACCACACAGGGCACAGGGACAGCTTTGGAGGTTCACCACCACGCTGAGCTAAGTAAATTACAGAGGCCAACTCTTCCCTAACCCTCCAGCATGGGCATGGGAGGGAAAATCAGGCTGATACTCCAGGAGTGGCTTGTCTACCAAAGCCCAACCTTCCTCATGGTTTCAAAGCAGAGAGCTGGCCCAGCATGGGACTGCAATGGTGCTTGTGGCTGCAGGTCAGGACAGAACAGGTAGGTCCTGAGAGGTGACCGGGAAGGTTTTCTGGCAGCTCCGACCTGTGTGTCCTCAAGACTGCAGGAACAAGCTGCCAGGGCTGCTGGCGAGGAGAGGAGCCGTGAGGATGCTGCGGCCGAGCAAAGTGCTGCTGCCTGGTTGTGAGCAACGAAATGAGCATCCTCTGGGTGGCACAGGAGAGACGGGATTTGGGCATGGGTGACACCAGTGCCGTCCTCGGCCACCCAGAAGGGACAAGGGGCGGGCAGGAGCTGCCAGTGCCGCGTAGGGTGAAAGGTAACAGCCCCTTGTTCCAGTGATCCACCCGTCAGGGATTTAAGGAAGGAAACCAGATTGCTGCTTACGACTTTGCTTTGAGCATGTTTTGGATTTTAAGAGTATGTTTAATAAAGGGTATCTTATGTCGACAGAGTGTCCAGAGTTGTTTTGTGGTTGCAGGGTGAGGGCAGTCAGGGTTTGAGGGGCTTGATGGCTGGAAACCCTTCTTGGCTGGGAGTGTTCACCCACCTGTCAGCCAAGCACCTCCCCCAAACCAGCCCAGCTGTTTCAAACGTCCTAAAACACTTCCCAAGGTCCCTTTCAGCCTGTGTTCCCAACCATCCTAAATCCTGCCACCTCCAAGCCCTGCCTGGATGGAGAAGGTGCAAATGTAAACGGAACCTCTGCAGGGAGAGTCTGGTCTGAGACAGAGGCACTTTCCTGGTGTGGGGTGTGGGTGGCCAGGCAGAGTGGCCCCTGGCATTGCTGGGATGGATGAGGACACCCAAGGGGCACTTCTGCAGGAGGAGAGGAGCACTAAGGACCTGGGTGCTTGTATGAGAGAAATCCCTCCAGTGCTGGGGAAGAAAACTTGTGCTAGGAGCTGATGTCTTGAAGGTGGGGAGGGCTTTAAGGGGGTTTATAATTTGGGTGTAATGGAGGGGGCTGATGGTGATGGGGGAAGCACTTTGCAGCTGTGGGGGGATTGTCCACAAATGCTCAGCTCCTGCAAAGGAGTCCCTCCCTAGTCTCTGTAAAAGCACTTGGATGACAGTGGAAGGGGCTTATAAAAGCCTATGGCTATACTTTTCTGAATTAAATAAAGGCAGTCTCCATCCTTTATTTTTGAGGGGGTCTGCCAGCCTCTCTTCAGCTTTGCCCTCATTGCTGTGAGTGCATCAGGAGCCAGAAGCAGAGTGTGGGCACAGGTAAGAGGAAAAGGGCTGGGCGTGCCCCAGGAGGGGCAGGACACAGGCTTTCATAGAATCACAGAACAGTTTGGGTTGGAAAGGACATTAAAGACCATCTCATTCCATCCCCCTGCGATAGGTGAGAACACCCTACCACTAGACCAGGTTGCTCCAAGCCTTGAACACTTCCAGGGGCATGTACAGCTTCTCTGGGCAACCTGTTTCCCCACTCCCACAGCGAAGAATTTCTTCCTGTTACCTAATCCAAACTACTTTCAGTTTAAAGCCATTCTCCTATCACTCCTTGCCCTTATAAAAACTCCCTCTCCAGTTCTCTCGCAGCTCCCTTCAGGTACTGGAACGCCACAGCTCCAAGCCTTGAACACTTCCAGGGGCATGTACAGCTTCTCTGGGCAACCTGTTTCCCCACTCCCACAGCGAAGAATTTCTTCCTGTTACCTAATCCAAACTACTTTCAGTTTAAAGCCATTCTCCTATCACTCCTTGCCCTTATAAAAACTCCCTCTCCAGTTCTCTCGCAGCTCCCTTCAGGTACTGGAACGCCACAGCGACGTAACGTAACGTGCCTAGCGACCAATCCGCGCCGTCCTCATGGCAACGCGCAGCCAATCGCGCGGCCGGAGGCTGTGTACGAGGCGGAGTGTCTCCATAGCAACGCGCGAAGC